TGGCCAGCAGTTTCTTGGTTTTCATTCAGTTAGTGTGACTGACAAGGTTGGCTTCTTATCTCCATTATAATCTGCCTGTCAGGCTTGTGTCTCCACATACTTCATTGCTTCCCCCTTTTGCTTAGTAGCCCATTTGACATGATCCTTGATCAGATAATCTTACTGGAATAAGCATTCCTACACTCCACATATCCTTACCAGTTCGCGTGACTGATCAGTTTTGGTTCTTATTGCTGCCTCCTTTATCATTTGTTGGTCAGGTTTGTGTCTCTCTGTGTTCTTGTTTATGGCTTCCTCCTCTTCTTAATATCCCCTTTTTTGTTGAGAAAATCCTTGACCAGACACCTTAAAGGAGCAGACACTCTCCTTGCACATATTCTTAAAATCAGCAAAATATTATCACAACTGTGTTAAAAAGGAGTATGGAACAGAATATAGCAGAAAAAATGAAAAAATTCTTTATTTTACAGTTATACAAATAAAAAACAATCCCCATAGCTGTACTTGAAATAGTATTAACAGTGTCAAATATGACAATCCTGACAGAATACAAATCAATCCTTTAAACCACAGAAACTGTATTACACACGCTCAGTAGCAATAGTACTGTGCAGGAATGAAGACTGTTCTCTCAAAAATAAATAATGTGCAATTTCAGAGCTATATCCTGAAATATGCTAATCTAGATCCCCATCTAAATCCTGGACATGTCTCTCCCAGGAAAGTCACTGCAACAAGTGCTCAGCACTTTGCTAGATCAAACACTAAAAAAGGTACTGAACCCACACCTGTTCTTCAAATTGCAGTCAGTTACAGGAAAGGTGCTAACCTCAAGCCCATGTTGCTTATATTGTTTAACAAAAGAATGGTACAATCTTTATTACACATCAGATTGTGTAAACCAGCAAGGGTTGAAAGGTTCAGTAGATCTTTTATCTGGAGAGTGGCTCAGAGCTGTGGGAAAGAGAACTGTCCTAAAGCTGAAAACTTAATAACCAAATACATTTATCTATCATTTTTGTGAAATATGAAATACTCTCTGCCACAGAAACATTAACCTGTACATTAATAAACAATTTACAATAAATTTATCTGAATGAAATCAAGTTGTTCAATGTAAAGCTGCCATAAGATTCAGAGAAATATACACTGTCTGCTGTCTTGATGTAGCTCCCAGTTCTTATTTTTAACATCCATTTGAGGAACCATAGCTGGCAAATGATACGACTGATACAAGGATAAATTTGAGGAACACTCAACTGATGGGCATTCCTCAGATATCACGACAATATTAGGGAACCTTCTTCTTTTTGTCCTTTCTACTTCGTAGTCGTTGTTGATAGTGCTGGATGATAAAAGTGGTAATTATAATAAAGCCTGTTTATCTGATCTGTGCTGTAGGCAGCACCGGAGGTGTGAATGTATATAAACAACAGAAATCATCCAAGGTAGCTATGGAGGCTTGAGCTGCTGACTGTTGCCCAGTGAAGACCATGAGGTGAAATTTATTCCACTATACAGTAGCTAAGCCTTTGGTGCTATGCCTCGGGTCACCTTTAGGGAAAAAGAGTCACACAGTGGAAATAATCTGTTTATTTTTTCATTCAGGGCCTGGGGTGCCTCAGGAGAAATACACAAAGCGCAGATCTAGAAGATGTAATGGAAAGGTGAGAAAGGGTGTCTGCAATGAGTCTACTGCTACAGCTTCCCAGCAGTGAGAGGGCTAACCACCAAGGCCACGTAACCTAACAGGAACAGCTCTGGGCATGTCACACCTCAGGTCACCCTAGAGTAGCCAGCAACTGGTCGTCACAAACCACCTCCAAATAGACAATCTGTAGCACAACAAACTGCACACCAGCGAGCCCCAGAAGCTTTGGACTCCACACGGGCACAGATCCTATACAAGAGCAACAGAATAAAATGACTCCTAGTGCTTGTGAAAACATGCAGTTGAAGACTGTAACTACTACTTGCCTCAGAGAATGGTTTGAAACCTACCACTCAAGTACATTACAGTTCAGCTCAGGATAAAGCTGAGGCAGGTGAGACAGGAGGTGGGTTAGTGAAGAGTCCTGTGCTTTCAGTAGGGAGGCACACCTGGGTGCCAGTTTGACAGGAAAGTGCTATGAGAAGGATGAGTGCGGATGCTGGTAGAGAGCTGTGAAACCATGACTCGGAGTGCTCGAAGTGTGCAGTATTGAAAGTGGAAAGCCTGCAGGAGATGAGGTTAAGGTCGTTTTGAGAAGGTACGGGCAAACTCTGTTGTCTTGAAAGCAGGTGCTACTGCCATGCCTTGTGCCAAACTAAGTTGGGGAAACCTTGCCCTGTATTATCATGTTCTATCAGATTTAGTGATAGGGTAAAAATTTGGACTAAAAGGCTTGTGTACTAAAGTTAACTTCACTAGCAGAGAATCAAATCCAAATCTTGAAAAATAAGCTCAGGCCAAATTTTTCTTCATCTGCTGACTTTTGAATGTCAACTTTCTCATCTATCTTCCTATTTATGTCTCATTATTTTCACTTACACAAGTAATTTTTTTTTACTGCCATAGGAATTAGAGTGTCTGATCTACTTTGCTCTCAGAGAAATAATCAGTTGGTGCACCAAAACCTTCTCTGAGGTGAAAAAAATCACGTCAGTTAGTATTTTAGTCTACTCTAAGTCCCTTTCTATTGATGGCTTGACACTAGAGAGACGACAAGACATTCCCAGAAGGAAAGATACAGCTAAACAGATGCTTCTGTTAGACTGGCACTTGCAAATTCTTCATCTCCACAGGAACGCTGTCAATGTATATGAAATATGTTTTAAAAGATCAACAGCAGCAAAACCCTAACAGGAAGAACAGGAATACATCCACCTTTCATCAAGAAAATAACCTTGTCTTAAACTGCAAGTTTACACAGTGTACAAATAACACCCTCTGGCTTACCAATAACTAATTAAACATATTCAGTATGTATTGCTGTTTAGTTCCTTGTGATACCTTGTTTCAGTGATGATTGTGTTAGGACCACATCCCACACCTTAGTATATACCCAAAGTAAACTGTCCTGAGTAGGAGAGACTGGTGAATACGGAAAGATACTGCTGTGTCTTATGTATAGCAGAATTACTTTCTATTTCCCGTCAGCTTTTGGCAAAAATGTCTGCAAGGCAGTGATTTAGCTACAAAATTTGCATCATCACAGAACTCTAGTCATGTATGATGAAAGATGTGAACTTAAGAGGAAAACCGGGCAATAAATGGCACTTTTACCTAGTGTGAGCATTGTGCTACATATAAAACTGCTCAACTGCTCAAGCTAGTTCAAAATTCAATGGTTACACCAAATATCTTATCTGGAGATGAGAAACTAACCTAGAACTAAAAACACGACATGAAAATACCCATACATTGTATCTGCATGCCTCCTTACCCTAGCCTGACATGAAAATGGTGGAACCATGGTGTTCTTCATTTACCTGCACCAACAGCACTAAAACGTATCTATGCAGACAGGTTTTGTATCTTAGTATATGCTGTACTGACACTCCACCCTCTCCCACCCTCCTGTAATTTCTTGTTCTCTTTTTTGAAAGAAGAGAGTGAAAGAAATCTTGGTTTCATGGATAAACAAGAATGATGCCCAGAAAAAATACTGTGAGATTATGCAGCCCCGCGTTATTGTGTTATTTCAGTCAATTATATATCAGAACACCAAGCTGATATTAAAAAGGTATATTGGAGAGAGATATCATCCAACACCACTAAAAATTTGAGTTTTAAAAGAACTGCTTGATCTACATTTCTTTTATTTTCCATTTAATTGGCTAGGTGTTTGGGGTTTTTTTTGACATGGTCCAGTGTCACCCGAGTTCCCTTAGAATTTGTATTTTGCTTTCAACCAGGAATAAAAAAATGTGTATATATATATTTGAATGTATGAAATAACTTCTTTACTCCTATAGATTTTTCTGAACAACGAAATTCCATATGCAAAGTCGGTAAAGAGGCTGTGCTTTGACATGCTTAATTAAAAAAATTTAAATAACATAAACAATATGTTCCCTACTGCAGCAAAGAAATACTGTACTAAATCTACACCATTTCTTCAAGAAAGGAAAAAATGTCTATAAGAGTAATCTTTGGTACCAAAAATAAGGGCACCTTCTTGTATGTCTTCAAATCCGAACACAACAGAAAAACTTTTCTTTAAAAATGGATCAAAATGACCTCAGAGAGGTTCCATGTTGTGGGTATTGACAGCAGTAGCTAGAAAAACAATTGGGACATTAAGGGTTACGTGACACCAGGCTACAACACAATAACAATGGATAAAATATTTGATGTCTTCCTCCACCCTCCCACTCTTCTCATTTTTTTTCCTAAGACAATTCTCTAAGATATATACTTTCAATTACTCGTAACATCCTCAAAATCCTTTAAGGGCTCCAATACTTAAAAGCAACAAAACTCAACCAACAGCAATAAGAAAAACAGCAACAAAAGCTGAGGTTATAATACAAGACCAGAAACAGTCCTCTGACTGAAGGCATTTACTGATTTGTTTGATCTTACGGAGTTCACTTTCTCTACTCAATCATGAACTTTTCTGCCAAAGCCTGGTTTATTTGCTCAAGAAAATACTCCATCTGTTAGGGATCTCTTCTGTCGGCTGTCTGACCACAGTGGCAAGTCAGCAGTAAGCAGGCTATATTTTTCTTCTTTAATTCATGATGAATGTGTCACTGGTTCCTGTAAACACTACTGAGTATACATTAAAGCTTTGTTCTTGCTGAAAGTGGCACTTACTTGAACCTTGCAGTCAAGATAGCTTAGTTACATAGCACTTTACAGGTGTAATAGCTGGTAATGTACTTCTGATAAAATTTCTTTTTCCGATGGCTTAATGGGTATTGAAACTCATCCTCACTGGGATCCCACTGCCATTCCACAACATCTTTATGATGAAGTGTGTATTCTGTACTACTTCTTGTACTTTACATGTGCTTTATTGCTGTATACATTTCCCTGTTGTTAATTTAAGTGCTCCTCTGTTATGTAATACATACAATGTTTTAAACTCTAATGGCATCCTATGAGGACTGGCATTAGAAAAGTACCGATACTTCAGATCATCATAATAATGATACTTGACTGGTTTTCCATGTAAATCCTTTGGGAATGGCCAAAATCCATACAGGTGAATTTCATCACAAAATCTGGTGGCAAGCGTATACATGAGGAGACCAGTGCTGGGTCGTTTAATGTGGACCTTGTTTGTCAGCCAATAGCTGTAAAAAAAGAAAAAGTACATTAAGAAACTCTCATACAACTTCATGTGAATAAAACCTGTAAACTTTTTTTATCTATTATGCATTCATTTTACACTATAAAAAAGCAAAAATTTCCTCTAAACTGAGATCACAAATGATGACACTGTTTTGGCACAGGTTTATTACACCTAGGAGAAAAGAAGTGAGATGTTATTTAACACAGTGCTGAAGAAAAGCTGGCCACCTAAGGTTCATAGTTCAGGCTTTAACTCTAACAAGATGTTAGAGTTAATGGCCTTCTGATTACTACCCCTAATGGCCTTCTGATTACTACCCCCTCTTGGTAATGCAGGTTGGCGGGGACGAGGTAGCAGAAAGAAGTCCCAAGGCCATCAAAAGGGACTTCAGGGCACTAGGGCGACTGGTTGAGGGATCAGGGGCGCAGGTGGTGTTTTCCTCCATCCCATCAGTGGCAGGGGACAGCACTGAAAGGGGCAGGAAAACTCACCTGGTTAACAGGTGGCTCAGGGACTGGTGCCATCGGTCAAATTTTGGCTTTTTTGATCATGGGGAGGTATACACAGCACCGGGCCTGCTGGCAACAAGTGGAGCTCAGCTATCACAAAGGGGGAAAAGAATTCTTGGCCACGAGCTGGCGGGGCTCATTGAGAGGGCTTTAAACTAGGTTCGAAGGGGGAAGGGGATATTGCCCAGCTCACTAGGGATGAGCCTAGGCTTGGAGTGCCAAGGCCAGGGGTGAGATTGACAGCCCAGCTCAAGGGTGTTTACACCAATGCACGTAGCATGGGCAATAAACAGG